CAATACTCTATTTTTATGGTAATTTTATCAGTGGCTCTTCTGGAACCGCTTCAGGGTATAAAGGGTTAAACTTTGTCACATAATACCAGCAACAATTGATATTAATGAAAAATCATCTTCAGTTTTTTACTCTTGATCGATTTGATGCTGTTTCATCTGATCATACTCAAGTAAAAAAAAATATTATACAAATATTTACAAAAATAGCTGAAAATCAACATGTGAAAAAACTACAAGAACTTTATCATACTATTTGTTTATGATTCATCTGTTCAACCTAATTTTAATATTCCTGGGCAGAAAACATTAGAAAATGTTTTTTTTTCCTACTAAAGATTGTTTTGAATAGTGTATAACAGTAAAATGAAAAACAAAATATTTTTTAATTCATTATTAAAAAAAGAAACATTTTTTTGAAATAGATATAACAGAAAATGTTCAACTTCGAGCAGACTTGATCGTATAGATCAACTTGTTATAAATAGGAATGGAAAATGTAATATTTTGATTTTTCTCAAAATTCTTCTTTCATCTATTGAAGATTTATCTAAAACAGATATACCTGATGTAGTAGTGCTGAATACATTTTATCAAAGTTGAATACAATATATGATACTTGTTGGTCGACGTGGACTAATCCAAGTATTATCATTCACTATAAAAGAACTTCGTGAACTTATTATATTAACTGGTATACAAACAATGTTAAATAAAGAAAATTTTAATTGAATTGATCACAATATGATTGATAAAATAGAATTGTCAAGAAAAAGATTAATCGCATTAATGTTTAAAATAGTTTGAACAAGTTTGTATTTTTGAAATTTATGATTATTTTCTCTAAAATGATCAAAAGATAATACTGAACAATTTTTGGTATTTATAATTTTGGGTGTGGGTGTGGGATATGGGTAAAGAATGTCCCTACATCCACACTCACACCCTCGTAAAATAAATTCATTGTTGAACTAAAAGACTTGCAGAACTCATATTTCAACGCAATACATTATACATATATATATATATTTAGAAACAAATAATTTATTTCACAGATCGCTACTTATTAATTTTATTTCTTTATAGATTTCTTTTCTTACAACAATGCACAAGGCAAATTTTTCTTGTTTTATTCTGTTTTTCTTGAACATAATACTTTATTTTTGTCTTTCAATGTATTAATGGATAACGTATTTCTGCATATGGAAAATATTCTTTTAAAGAATTCGAACATTTTAATTCGCCAGTTAAATTTAATTTATTTATTTTGGCACAATTAATTCGTGTAGCATCTCTTGTGAAATTGTTTGTTACACGTTGTAAAGATTCATGATTGATATGAAGAATAATATTATATGGTAAATATGTTTTAGTATCAAATAGAAATTCTTCTATATAATCATCATGGACATCGATAATAACAAGTTCACTGAGAGAAGAATATTGAATAACACAGGTAAGTTTTGATTATTATTGTTTGATTCATTCGATTGTTTCCGATTCTGTGATCTATTATTATTCAAACATACTTTTTGCATAGATGGAAATGATTGAACAATTCGAAGAAAAAATTCATGCCCGAAAGGATGTTCATCATATAATGACACCACACGAACATATTTGAATAATCCACCTCGGAAGTTATTTGAAATATCGCCGTAATATAGCATTACAGATGGATATGAATAAATATGACATCGACCTTGTTGTATCTCTGGAAAATAATCAACATAAGAAATAACTTCATTTTTTCCAAAGTCAATGAATGTGCGTTGAATATCTTCTGTTGGTGGTAAATTCAATTTATCACCAGCAAACATCGATGAGTTAATGTAAAATGTAAACTGACTTAATCTTGGCATACGATTAATAATGTTTTTCTTCAAATGGTTTCCATCAATAAATGTTTCATTAACATAGATCAGAAGACATAAATTCAGCCGTTCTAGGTTTGACATTCGACATAGAAGTGGGAGGATTGTTTCATTGTAATGCAATGTTTCGAGATTACATGACAGAGAAAAACACTTTAGATTTGGTAAATCACCCTAAAATACAAAATTTGTTGTTATTTGAGAATAGAAGTTTTTCTTGTAAAACTAACTCGATTTTCCATTTCTTCTGGAATATGAATATAACCCAAGTCAACAGAGAATGAGTAAAGTTGATTAAAACGACCATCGAGAATACAAAGACAATCATCAAAACATTGTACGCTGATATTCAATTTCAAAAGAGTTGAAGAACGAATATAAGGATGTAATGAATCATTAAAATTTAATCGAGCACAACTTTGATATGATGGTTCATATAATGCTAAAGCAGTCAGACGAGTGAAAACAGTGAAGATATAATAATATATGTTTGCCACTAACAATAGCATCTTATAATAATCATCGTTTTTATTAATTGTAATTAAAAGTCTTGTTATTTGATTTTTGAAAATATCACATGAAAGAATTTTATCTAAATATATGAATACAATATTAGTAAGAAAAAAAGCTATGAAAATAATAGCAATATATTTCATGATCTAGAATTCTAGATTAATAAGTTTGATAAATTTTTCATTTTAGAATAAAAATAATTCAATTATTATTTCTTACCATTGAAAAGGCATTGAACTAAGTTTTCGTTAATATTATACAGGCCGAGACCATATAAATTAGGATACTTAGTAGCATGCAAAACATGTTTCATATGTGATGATTCAAGATGAAGCCATTCGATTTTATCATGAATTTCAGGTAAAATTTTTGAACAAAATCGATCACGTATCATATCATTACGCAATTCATTGAAAAGAAATAAACTATTTGTAAAAACTGAATCGTGAACAATTTTATTTAGGCGTTGATTGACACCTAGTAAAGAATAAAGTACTTCAATATTATCCAGTTTTTTGAAAATAATCATAAGAATTTCATCAGCTAAATCATTTAATCCAAGGCATGAATATTCCATGTTTATATTCATCTATCTATTCTTTTCAACTTATGAAGGTCAACATTTATATGCGTACACAACATTCATCTCTTCTCCGTGACCGATGTCGTCAATAAAAACAATAACACATTGTTCTCTGGGCGAAATTGATAATGAATAAATGTATATGATTGAAATAATGTTAAGTTATTTCCTTGTCTCCTTTGTCTAATATGTCATATATATGATAACAGTGATACTGCTTTTCTAGTGTGTATTTTTATCGACACTTGCAGCGTTCAGTTGAGAC